AAATTTATTAGAATTTGAAAAAGCTGCTTTATTTTTAACCTATTTTGCTTTCTTACATTTTTAAATGTAGTGAAATGTGAATATTACCGTTTTGATAACTATTGCGATTTTTGCATTTTAATTTTGTCCTATTGTAACTAAAAGCTTAGCTTTTTAACGAACTTGATTGTTATCCGATTCCTTACACTATGAGACGTGAGTTTTTCTTCTCTAAGATTGTGTTTGTGATTTTTGTTGTCATCTTGTTGAGACTTTAAAACAGAAAGCAGTTATTTTATGAAGTATGCAAAAAAATAATAAAGAATGACTAAAATCTTTAGGCGTAAATCAGCAGAACCACATAAACTGATAAGATTCAATAAACAGATTATCATATCACTGTATTGCACATGCTTATTTACAAATTAGGTATAGCCTACAAATCCACAATAAAATGTTTTGTCTGCTTTCATTAAACTTGGCTGCAAATTTAAAAGCATTAGAAAAATATTTAGTTTATTTTTTGTAAATTCAATAATCTATATAATCTGACTCAAATCTGCAGAAGGTCGGGCCTTTTCGACAAATATCAGGATTCATCACTTCTCAACACATTCACAGGTTTTATTAAGACAATAAAAATAAAATCAATGCATTTGCTCATTTTTTAAATAACATTTATTTCCAGTATATTCATACAACATGACAGCACATCTTGCAACATTAGAAGAGGAACTGACTTTGTCCATCACTGAATATGATCTGACTAACCAAAAAGTCAAATATAGCATTTCATATGACCAAAAATGTGATATAATACAATGCAGACAGTTGGAAACAAACTAAAAAAAAAAGAAAAAAAAAGAGATTACTGAAATGATAAAAACAACGATTGGCATTTACACATTATTAGTTTTACAGCGGGAAGTCATTTGCAATAACTTAATGTTTGCTTCAGTTCCTCATCTTTGACCACCATCTTCAGTTTTATTAATAAGAATCCATTTAAGTTCAAACAATTATTTTTGCATATTTTATCATAAAAGATGCATTTGTGCTGAGCTGAATTGTTATTTTTGGTTTAATTTGGAGCCTAATTCATTGGTGGCAAGATGAGAAACAAAAGTGGGGGAAAGTCGCTCAAACCTTTACAGTCTAACATATAAAATTAATTTTAAAGTCACACATAATTCCGTTTAGTCCCCCCCCCCCCCCCCAAACAAAAAAAATCAGACTTTTTGACTACAAGCCAGATAATCCTAATATGTACAGCAGAGGTGCAGCCAGAGCACATGACAGGTCAGCAACACTTGGAGCGCGTCTGTGTTCGGTCCGCTGCAGGCTCACGGTTTGTCCGGTGTGTTGTTGACTAGAGGCCCGTACAGGCTGCTGCTGTAACTCTGCTCCTTGTGTAACATCGTCCTGTCCCTGATCAGGTCGCTGAACGCGTAGTCCATGGGGGGTCTGAAGCCCAGGGTGGGCATGAGCCCGGTGGTGGAATAGGGCGCCATGAAGGCCAGTCCCCGGCTGTGCGCAGAGTAGGCCAGCCGCAGAGGGTTCAGTCCCAGGTGGGTGCCCAGAGGATAGGTGCCCGGGTCCGCGCCGAAGTGCGGGGCGTTTGGCTGCAGCGGGGAGAAGGCGGAGCGGTTGCTGAGCGTCATGGCGCCCGGGAGCATCGGCCTGGTCGGGGCGGCCGCGGTGGCGGACGCCGGCGACGCCTGCTGCGCGCTCTGGAGCATCCTCTCCGCCGTCCACGGCTCCTCTGCGGGGCCGGCCTTGTTGGGGGTCTGCGCGCCGCTGTTGTTGAGGATCTGCTCGATGGCCTGCACCACGTCTTTGCCGCAGCCCTGCAGCACGAGCTCCAGGACGCTGCGCTTGTGGCTGGGGAACACTCGGGTCAGGATGTCGATGGCGTTCATGTGGCGCGAGGCCGCGGAGGAAGGGGAGGGCTCCTGCTCGTCCTTGTCGGTCTCGGAGCCCGAATCCGAGCCCAGGGAGCTGACGGAGCCGGGGGTCTCCTCCCCGTCTTTCAGAGGCTTGGACACCGGTGAGCTGATGAAGGACTCGCTGTCTCCGTTCTCCGAGCCGGAGCCTCCTCCGTGCCGCCCGTCGGGGGAGGAGACGCCCGGGGCCGAGTCGCCCTCGGTGGAGGCCGGTTTGCCCGCAGACTTCTGCGGGGTGCTGGACCCGGACAGCTGGGTCTTTGGGAACAGCTCAAACTTCTGGATACTAGAATCTGCAGACCCAAACATCACAGCTCAGTTATTTCTTATTTTAACAGATTTATAAATTAATGAAAGGTCAAAGTTCAGTCGTTTGACTGAGTAAATAATTAGGTTTGACTTCCGGTCACAGTGCGGACACCTGCTGCAGAGAGAGAACTGACGCGCGCGCTGCGGGCTCACCTGAGTTGCTCTCGCTGCTGACGGACCCGAACACCTCGTAGTTGGGCCGCGGCGGGATGATGCCGTTGGCGGCGGCCAGGGCCAGCCCCTCGGCGGTGCCGTAGAGCAGCTGCAGCTCGCGGGCTTCGTTCTCCTCCTGCGCCTGCTGCCGCCGCAGCGCCACCTGCGCGGCCATGACGCGCTGGCGCTCGGCGATCAGCGTGCACTTGGCGCACATGCAGTCCTTCCAGCGGCAGTAGCGCTTGTGGCCCTTGAGCGCGGACACCACGCCGTGGTTCCGGCAGCGCGCGCACTTGGGCGTGCGCGGGTACTTGTCCGCGGCGCGCAGAAGGAGCGGGGGCCCGCGCAGCAGGTTCCCGGCCATGGACACCGGGATGGAGGCTGCCGCCGCCGCCGCGGCCGCCGCTCCCGGGTGGACCTGAGAGGCCGAGGAGGCTGAGGGGAGCTCCGGTCGCAGATCCATCGGCCGCTTCCTCACCGCTGCAGCGAAACGTTTAACAAGACGACCTTTTTTTTTACGATTAAATTTGAGTGAATTGGAGCTGATCACATCTGCTGCGCACTTTCAAACATTTTACGCGCAACAGGTGAAGTCAGCAGATTCTTACAGATTTTAAATAATGATCGAAACTCAAATAGAAACTTTCTAAGTAATTGGGTAAAAAATAAAAAAAAATAAGAGGAGTTTAGGTTTGAAAAGAGTCCGAGGCGGAAGAAGAAGATCCTGTAAAGTTCAATGTGTCCAGGAGTTGAAGGGTTGAGACACTAACTTCCTCCAGAGATTGGGAGTGGATACAGACCCTCTCTCCTCTCTCTATTGTTGCTCCTACGTTTTCATTAGACAAATTTGACAACAATGTGGCGCCTGCCATTGGCCGAGGGGAGAAGGAGCGATCTGATTGGCTTGCCTCTGTTTTTTTTTTCTTTCTAACTGTGTCCACCTGAGTTCTTCTTTTTTTTTTTCTTTTTCTTTTTTTTAAATATCAAGTGTTAAGAATCTGAAGGGAGTTCCCGGAAAGCTCCAATCGATGAACGTTTATATTTTCAAAAATTTATTTTATAGATTTTTTCCCGAAAGCCTTTTTTTTCCTTATTAACTGTGGCAATTTTGACAAACAAGTCGGCACAAGTTAAAACTAAATATGAGCC